TTTTTTTTTTCCTTTCAATGAATTCCTGTGTCTAAGGTGGATTGGTCAGGTGATGTGTGTGAAGGAATTGGGATTGGGGGAGGATGGAGGTGTGGTGGTGAGCAAGGCTGATGATGCAGTTGCAGCGTCAATGTAAGGTGGAAGCGGCGAGATGAAGCGACTTGGTGCTCAAAGGCGGGCACAATGGTTGCGCAACACTTGAACCCCTAGCACTCCACACCCTCAACACCCTCGTCTGCAACAAACTCTACTCCCACATCGGCCTCAACCCAGATGCGTGCAATGCGCTACGCCCCGCCTGCTTTCAGTACAACCGCCCGTGGCGCAGTGCATGGGATCGAGATGCGCATGAGCATGAGCGTGCGCAGGCCCAAGTGCAAGATGTTCATCCCAGTCGACAAACTCAAGTCCCACTTCACACAGCTTTTCATCTCGACGCCGCACCGAAGGACATTAGGAACCGGGTTGCATTCGTCACGCGAGAGCCGACAGCAGGGGGCGGAAAGAATCGTCAGGGGCGTCAAGAGGCGCGTGTGCGCGCGCAGGATCGCTGCGCGCTCGCCTATCTATTAAGAGTGCAGATGGGGGGGGCGGGGCAGGGCTTGGGTGTGTTTGAGAGAGAAGGTATGTCGCTACGCGGAGACGGGGGAATCATCGTGCATGATCGAACCTTGTCGGGTTCGGGGGGGTATAGCCAGACCGGGGATAGCGTTGGGCGCACGACGGCGGGGTAAGCGTCGCCGTGCGTTGGTACCCAGCAAACAAAAAGAACCGAGCGAGGACAAAGACAAGAAATCAGGAGAGCCAGACCCGGGAGGAGGAATCGGGGAAGGGCATGCGAAGAATCCAAAGTAAAAAAAGTGGGGCCAAGGCGAGGAGGGGGCTTAGGCGGCGGCAGCGACGGGAGCCGCCGACTCGGGAGCCTTGACGGCGGGGGCGGCGATCACGGCGACGGGCTCGGGGGCGGCCGTGACGTCCTCGGCGACCTTCTCCTCGATGGGAGAGGCAGCCTCCTCGGCAGCCTTGTCCTCGGCAGCGGCGGGCTTCTCCTCCGACTTCTTGGGGGCGGCCTTGGCGAAGAGGGCACCAAACTTGCCGCTGAGACGACGGCCGAGCTTGATCTTCTGGGCGGCAACGTCGGGGGCGGGAGCGTCAGCCTTGGCCGACTCGTCGATCTTGACGTCCTTGGCGGCCTCCTCGGTGGCAGCAGGGACGGCGGCCTCCTCGACGGCGGCGGGGGCCTCGACGGCAGCCTCGGTGGTGGGCTCAGCAGCGGCGGGGGTCTCCTCGGTAGCAGGGGCGGCGGCGTCGGTGGCAGCGGCCTCCTCGACGACGGGCTCCTCCTTGGTGGCGGCGGGCTTCTCCTTCTTGGCGGTCTTCTCCTTGAAGGCGCCGATGAGCTTGCCGATGAACGACTGGCGCTTCTCCTTCTTGGGCGAAGCCTCCTTGGCGGCAACCTCCTCGGTGGCAGCGGCGGGCTCCTCCTCGGGGGCAG